TCTCAGCGTCTCTAACCAACGACAATCCTCATCCCTTGCGTCCCAACCGAAGCCAGCTTCTTCATGCCTCTAGCCCATGTCATGGTCTGACCGCCGCGTCGCTCCTTTCAGCGTTACCCGGCACGTGCAATGAGGGCACGGAAAGGTAGTCGATGTGAAGGCACACGCAAAACGTGACCAAGCCATCGGAGGCGGTGTAGAGCGACTACTTCTGTTAGGGAACGACTATGCACACCTAACACACAACAACGGACCTCGTAATTGCTCACCCGATGTTCCCACCAAACACGTGCAATGATTCGGAGATAACGGTGCTCAACTATAGAAAGTCGATTGGCATCCTCCGCTCGGACAGGCCAGGTCTCGCAACCCTAAAGCAGGACACTACGAACTGCGGCGATGTATATCGTACTCCTAAGGGACAGTCGGATGTCATGGTGGCGCTACAGGTGTCGTAGGTTGGCGGAGACTACTCTAGCTTTCGCTATTAGTGATTTGATCTCGTCCCCAACATCAACACCAGCTGCGATCAAGCTCCCGAGGTACTTAAAGTTCCCAACTAATTCTAGCTGATCAATACAGAGGGTGAGTGCGGGCAGGGGCTCCTGCCAGTCTTGAACCAGCACTTTGCACTTGGAAGGTACAAAGCACATACCATATCTGGATACCTCTGTCGCCAAGTGGTGTAAAGCGCCTTGGACTGCCTGTGTGTTTTCACCCAGCAAGGCGATATCATCGGCATATCCCAAGTGAAGAACTCTGTTCCCTGGGAGGAGTTCGACTCCACCGTTTGCTAGGTCGGACAAGGCGTTCTGTAGAACATCCTCTATGACAAAGTTGAAAAGGAATGGGGATATAGGGCAACCTTGTCGAACTCCACTGGAGACGGCGAAGGGTGGCGAAAAATGGCCATAGGGCCTAACCCAACCTGAGGTATGACAATGCAACTCTTTGAGGATCGACACATGCTTCTCAGGTACTCCATTCCTCAACAAACGATTCCATAATGTAGTCCTATCGACAGAGTCAAAGGCCGCAAGAATGTATAAGAATACAATGATCGTTGGTCTTTGGTAGGCATGACGGTGCTCTAGCAGATGTCCGAGGGTGAAGATTTGATCGATGCATCCACGATCGGCACAAAACCCAGCCTGCTCTTCACGGGTCTGCTCCTGA